CAGGGGCAATCTAACAAAATACATGCCATTTGGCACCCAGCCAAGGCTGGCACACGGAAGCCGCGTGCCGCACAGGTGGGGGGGGCTTCGCAGCATCACTTAAGTGGATTCGGCCAAAGCAATCGGGGATACCAAAATCGGCAACCAAAGCTACCTAATCTTGGTTGCTGGCAAAACCCCTCTGCAAAAAGTTCTTCACTTGTTGTGGGTTTGATGGAAATACCTTGGCTTCCCAAAAAGTTAAAGTCTACAGATCCAGCCCAATAGCAATCAAGGACCCTCAGAATTGGCGGCTTTCCTTTTGCTCCCTTTTAACAAACCACACGCAAACAACATCAGACGTTAAAACCACCAAACAAGGAGTATGCAAGAAAGGGACACGCCCGCCCATTTTGCGAAGCCAACACTTCCATTTGTTTTTTTGCCCCCAAGCACAAATCAAGTGATAGATTCCCGGTAAAACCAACAAGGGATATAACATATTCATTTCAGCAAATGGAGTTTCGGTTTCAATGCGGAAAACACATTTCCAACACTGGGCTGTCCTCAGATCCCCCGCTCAAAGCTTTTAACTTGTGGTGTGTTAAACTCGGAAATCCAACTACTAAACACTAAAAAGAAGAACTCGAAAGCTAAGGAACCGGATGGCCGGGCTGGTTGAGCCACGAAGAAACGGTCCATTTCAGCACTCCGCCTTCCACAGCCTTGTAGGTCGCCAAAGGGCAAGGCCTCACAGTTTCTCGTGGCTCGGTTGGGTTTAAAGGGAGACCTTTCTGGGAAAACCGATGCCATTCTGGGGGGTCCCCTGAAAACAGTTACTCCCAACATGGGTCTTTAGGGATAGCCCTCACAAGGAAAGCGTGTTCTTTGTCGAAAAGACTTGGGCTGCACCTGCCCGCTCAGCGTGGGCGACAGAAACGTTGTGCACGTTCAGCTCTCCAGGGGTGAAGGCATCTCCGGTTGAAGCTTCAAGTTTTGTCTCCGAGTCGGTGCTGAGACTACTTGAATGGGCGATCGGATGCGTCAAGTGGCGTGACTTTATGGCGACTTTGCAACAGGCCCAGACCTAGTGTATGTTGCAAGGGCTGCCCTACAAGACATGGGCCAATTTCAGCGGCCGTTTTATAGGGAGCGGGGGTCACTGTTGCGCGACCGATGGCCAGTGCAAAATCTGAGCTATGGCGCTGTGCACAACTTGAATCGCGTCAGCTGGAACATAATCTGAGGGACATGCCCGGCGGATTCTCCTTCTTTATTTTTCTTTCTTTCTTTCTTTCTTTGCTTCCTTCCTTCCTTCCTTCCTTCCTTCCTTCCTTCCTTCCTTCCTTCCTTCCCTCCCTTGAAACCAACTGGAAATAGTCAAGGGTCCTCCAAAGCAGACGGAAGAAGCGCTCCCGCGAGTGGCAAATGACAAGGCCTCAGTCCCTGAGGCGCCCGGCTCGCACAGACCGGCGACCGCCTGCGAGAAGGGCGCAGGGCTTGGGTCACGTAGTGGCTGCCCTTGTTGTATCTGGTGTCATTAGTTTGGGGGTTGTCAAAGTCAGGAACTGGGGTGGTGTCCTTCAACTTACCACTCACGGAGTGGCTTTGAGAGTGTCAATATACTGGAGCCAGGGTATCCCAAAACCATTTTTTTTACACGACAAATGTAAGTCAGCTGGTAGCTAGTAAACGTAACTTTCACTGGCACATTTAATGGACCATGCGCTAGCGGCGGGACAAGGGCAACCCTGTCCGGTAAAAAAAGACGCAAAGAAGGCATGACAATTATTGATAGAGGCGAGAGCTAATCTGCAACTGGCTGCAAGCTACCAAGGTCTTGTAGTTGGAGGTGGCTGGCTCACAAACTTTGAGAGATCTTTGACCTGTTCTGTCAAGTGAAGCCGTCACACAGATCCCAAAGTCCGACATCCAGGGTAAAAGCCTTGCTGTTGCTTCGGCAGCAAGAGCAAGGGCACTTGGCATTTTCTTTTCTCACGGAGTTTGCCGTTTGTGAAAGCCAGACCCAGAAATCATCGAACTTGTCCCCGAACCACACCCCTCCAAACATGATCTATTTGCGTCTTTACCAAGGGTCTTTGCTCTGGGCCGGGGCGGGGTTTGCGGGGTCCGGGTGTGACAGAAGGAGGCTTGTTCTGAAGGGAGACGACCGCACGTCTGCAGTGGACAACCCTTGGCCCAGAAGCATGCAGCACTGGGCGTGCAAGGCTGGTTTGCAGCACTTGTCTCGGAATGCGTCGGCCCTTGGCTGAAAATGCCCACGGCCAACGTGCATTTTTTCCAAGGCGCCCTGTTTTGTTGGTTGAGTTGAACGGTAAATCCTGCCATGAAATGAAAGTGGCCACTTTGAAGGTGCGTCGAAATAGGGAAACCCCTTAAATGTGTTGTTTCCTTTTGGCGTCCCCTCAAAACGACCCGTTTGAGGCAGGAATTACCCAATTGAAACCACCGGCCCTTTCCGTTGCCTGATGTCCTGCAGGGCAAGGCCCTACTCGCAAACCTCAAGAGAGGCGTGCGGGTCACAAAATGGGTCTGTGGCTTGAGGGTACCCTTTTCAGGTTGGCACAGAAAACTCAGTTGATATCATACCCCACATCTCCCCTTGGATGGTTTGGACCGTTTGGGGCGATATGCTCAGAGAGAATACAGGGAAGCCTGGAAATTGAAGGGACTGCACACAAACAGGTTGCTTACGCAGTGTTGGCCGAAGAAGCTGGGTTCTTCAACAGGTTGCTGCTTAGATGACAGGGGTTTTCAAATTTGGGGCCCCGTGTAGAACCCGTCCCAAACTTCAAACTGGGGAGATCCAACCAGTCCATTGAGCTCTACAAAAAAACTACCCAGGGTTCATGCAACCATTTCCTTTAAACCAACAGAGGAACAAAGAACAACAATTAAGCAAATGGAAGCGCCTTTCAGCACGCTTGAAGGGTCCAGAACTGCGACTTCCAAGTTAGGTCACAAATTCAAGCTCAGTTGCTCTTGCACCGCACTGCTGTCTCCGCCAAAGCCTGGGTCACCCCAAGTCACAACAGCCCCAGTTTCAAGAATGGCAGCAAAAGCACCGTCAGTTGCTTGGATGTGCTGCACGCCGATCAGCTGCTCTTGCACCTGGCTGCTGTCTCCGCCAAAGCCTGGATCACCCCAGGTCACAACAGCCCCAGTTTCAAGAATGGCAGCAAAAGCACCGTCAGTTGCTTGGATGTGCTGCACGTTGATCAGCTGCTCTTGCACCTGGCTGCTGTCTCCGCCAAAGCCTGGATCACCCCAGGTCACAACAGCCCCACAGTCAAGAATAGCAGCAAAAGCTCGACCAGTTGCTTGGACGTGCTGGACATTCCTCAGCTGCTCTTGCACCTGGCTGCTGTCTCCGCCAAAGCCTGGATCACCCCAGGTCACAACAGCCCCACAGTCAAGAATGGCAGCAAAAGCACGGCGAGTTGCTTGGATGTGCTGGACGTTCCTCAGCTGCTCTTGCACCTGGCTGCTGTCTCCGCCCGCTTCTGGATCACCCCAGGTCACAACAGCCCCACAGTCAAGAATAGCAGCAAAAGCACGACGAGTTGCATGGATGTGCTGGACATTCCTCAGCTGCTCTTGCACCTGGCTGCTGTCTCCGCCAAAGCCTGGACCACCCCAGGTCACAACAGCCCCCGTTTCAAGAATGGCAGCAAAAGCACAGGCAGTTGCTTGGATGCGATGAACGTTTCCCAGCTGCCCTTGGATCTGGCTGCTGTTTCCGCCAAAACGGGCCTGACCCCAGGTCACAACAGCGCCAGTTTTGAGAATGGCAGCAAAAGAAGCGGCAGTTGCTTGGATGTGCTGGACGTTCCTCAACGTCGCTTGCACCTGGCTGCTGTCTCCGCCAAAGCCTGGATCACCCCAGGTCACAACAGCCCCACAGTCAAGAATAGCAGCAAAAGCACGGCGAGTTGCTTGGATGTGCTGGACGTTCCTCAGCTGCTCTTGCACTTGGCTGCTGTCTCCACCAAATTCTGCTTCACCCCAGGTCACAACAGCCCCAGATTCAAGAGTGGCAGCAAAAGCACTAGTAGTTGTTTGGATTTGCTGGACGTTCCTCAGCTGCTCTTGCACCTGGCTGCTGTCTCCGCATTTCGGATCACCCCATGTCACAACCTCGCCACCGTGGCCATGCCAAGCGAACGTCCTGTTTGTGGCAGAAAGTTTGCCAAGCTGCATGACTGCCGCCACGACGTCGCCATCTCGCAACCCGGCCTCACTAAGCGTGGCCGTCAAATCGAGCTGCCGGCCTTCCGCAATAAGCTTTAAGCGGCGCTGTAATTTCTGCTGCGCTGCAGCCTTCAGCTCGCTGATGCGCCTTTTCCGTGAGATTGTTACGGAGCAACCAGCTCCACTGGGCAGGTGAACATCCACCTTCATGGCGGAAGGTTCTTCTGGGCGCACGAACCTACCAGAACTCGCACTGACATGGCTGGACTTCCACGATTTGCCAGGACATTCTCGCACCAGGAACTCTGACAAAGTGTCTAAGCTGAACATTTAAGGAGCCTGTATCAGAAGGATAACTGCAATTCAGAGCAAATATATTAAGCATTTCGGATGGGGCTTTGGTGGCTATGATTGACATAGTTGCTTTCCAGCACATTTGTCACATTTCTGCTTATTTGTGACCGCGCTGCTTGGATACAAACCGAAGCATGTCAATTGTGTTTGCTTCAAGCGGCCACGCAACGCCCTGTGCAACATGACTTGCACACGGGTAAGTCATGTTGCACAGGGGCCACTTCGACAACAAGGTCAAAGGTTACTACCGGCGTTAGCAACGGATTGGGGACAGAATGTGTTAATGTAATGGATGCGTTCATCAACGGAGGTAAGTGGTCGCAACAACATGATGCACATGTTGATCTTGAAGTAGTTGAATGAGCTTGTCTAGCTACAACACCACCAACGCTACAACCAATACTTCACAGCACACAAGATTGGCTTACAACCGGATCCCGGTCTGGCACGCGCCACCCCCAGACCCCTGAAGACGTACATTCTTAAACTAGAAAAGCAAATTGCCAGCCAATACTAGCTCCATGGTCTTAAGCGGTGCTATTCCCAAAGCCGAAGAAAAAACAAGCTAGCCGGAGACAGCAAGTGTCTAAGGAATTCCATTTGCTGATGCTAGTAGTGATAAATTCCATTAAACACACAGGAACATACAACATCTTCTTAAGCAAATGTAAAATAGCATGTTGAAGTTCAATGGTTTGCCTTCAAGGCCCCCTTGATTAAACCTGGCACTCCCCGCTGGGGAAAAACAACGGTTGCAGCTTCCTTCCACTTTCCTACTGTACCATTGGCACAGCGGGAGGACCAGAGAGGAACCTGTGACATCTGTGACTTTCGCGGATTCACAGGGGATGCCCAAGGAACCCTCCAAAATTCCGGTCGTTCTGGACCTTGGAGGGTTGCAAACCCTATCAGGGTGATTCAAACAGGTATTCAAATGAGTCTGCTAAACTGTTTCCCAAACCTCATCCCTTGGCAACTATGTAGATTGGATGTTGTTCTAGACAAGGCCAATCCGAGGTTTCCCGTAATCTGCAGCTGAACAGCAGTACAGGCAAATAATCGTCTGGCATAAGAACTTGCGGATTGGTTTCGAACAACCTTCCAGACCTCCGATGATTTTCCGTTGAAAAGTCATCATCTGATTTGGTCGTTGGATGATCCAAACTGGGTTCCAACAAGCTGGTTCTAGGATGCTTCACACACGACTCTAACCGCGCAAACGATGGGAATCCATTTGTTGCAGCTCGTGTAGAATCGCATAGATAGAAACATAATTCAAACCTACCCGAAACCAATCTAAACACCAGCCAGAGCCAAGCGTAAAAAAGACATCATGCTAACCGGACACTAAACCCGCACAAACAAACCCGACCCCTCCCAGAAAGAGGGCGACATCTGGAGGTTTGGGACCCCTCGACTCGTCCTCTCCTTGGGTCTCTTGGCCCTCGTTCTGCTACCGACTCTGATACCCCCCCCCCCGCTCCCCCACCCCCGAAAAAAAAGGACAAACCCCATACAGTAGAAAATCAGTAAACACAATGAAACTGTCAACACAACGACAGCCAGAGACAGTCAAACTAATATTCAGAGTCCTGTTTCGATGGAGAGGTCCAGAATCAGCAGATAAAAAAGGAACAAACCAAAAAACAACTGGAAGCACCAGAAAACAAACAGCTTGGAATGCAGATTAAAATAAAATCTGACTGAGGGAAAAACAACAGAAAACAAACACAGCAAACAATCAGAAAACAATCAGAACAAAACAAGTGGACAACGAGGTGGGGGGGGAGGGGGGAAGAGGAAGCGGGGGGAGGGAAAGGCAAAAATGAAGAACACCCATGCACACAAACAAAATACATACAAGTCAAAGCAAACAAGTCAGAAAAGAAACTGGAACAAAACAGAAAATAATCAGACAAAACCAACAAACGTGGACAGGGGAGGGGGGAGGGGGAGGGGAGGAAAACTGAGTCTGCACTGTGCTTCCTGTTTATTTTCCGAGTCTGCAATCCAAGGCCCGGGAGTTCTATTTTGGGCTTGTCTTTTGTTTGTGCTTTCTGTTGAATTCTGTGAATCATTTTCTCGGTTGCTTTCTGCTTCCCTGCTAGAAGTTTAACTTTTAGTTTTTTTTAATGGAACACCCATTGGTTGGCAACAAGTTAAAGTCCTACAGGGATCCTTACATTATCAAACGAAGTTTAGAAGGAACTTCCGTGTTACGGCAACTAATTGAAAGCTAGCTCTTTCAAACAAATGACAAGACAAGGAATAAGCCCGCGAGAAAAAGTGCGCGCGCGTGTGGCAGGGGAAGAGAAAGTCGCAAAAAACGTGGCCCTGTGCGTGAATCGGCATTTTCGGAGATGAGAAAGTCGCAAAAAGCGTGGCGCTGTGCGCGAATCGGCGTCTCCGGAGATGCGAAAGCTAGCCTGTCCGCGGCGTCTGGTCGGAGCGGGCTCGGAGCATGCTCGGAGCGGTCTCGGATCACGTTCGGCGCCGGGCCCATTGGCACGGCAACGCAGAGGTTTCGCAGGGTTTGAATTGCATGGCAGGCGCAGCATTTTGGCAAGGTCAAGTACATATTTCGTGGCAGGCGCAGCATTTTCGCAAGGTCAAGTAAAGATTTCGTGGCAGGCGCAGCACTTTCAGCAAGGTCAAGTACATAGTTCGTGGCAGGCGCAGCACTTTCGCACGGTCAAGTGCAGATTTTGTGGCAGGCGCAGTACTTTCGCAAGGTCAGGTGCAGAATTTGTTGCAGGTGCAGTACTTTCGCAGGGTCAAGTGCAGAATTCGTGGCAGGCGCAGCACTTTCGCAAGGTCAAATTCAGAATTCGTGGCAGGTGCAGCACTTTCGCCAGGTCAAGTGCAAAGTTGATGGCAGGCGCATCACTTTCGCAAGGTCAAGTGCAGATTTCGTGGCACGCGCAGCACTTTCGCAAGGTCAACTTTTAAGTACGA